AGAGATTGCAGAAGAGCTAGGCCGTTGGCAAATCCACTGTTGCAGATGGTCTGGAACGCATTGGGAAGGTGAAAAAACTCGACAATTGGGTGCCCCACAATCGGAGTGACCGGCAGGAATCGGCACGTCTCGAGGTTCCTTCTGCATTGCTTTTGCGCAGCAGAAACGACCTGTTTTTGGGCCGAATTGTCACCTGTGATGAAAAATGGGTCATGTATGATAACAGGAGACGTTCCGGACAGTGGTTGGATTTCGACGAACCACCGAGGTAATTTTCAAAGCCGAACCCTCACGAAAAAAAGATTCTGGTCACGGCTTGGTGGTCATCGGCTGGTGTGATCCACTATAACTTTTTATCACCAGGCCAAACCATCACAGCAGAACCCTACTGTGAAGAAATCGACGAATTGTACCGAAAATTTTGTCAGATGCAGCCAACACTTATCAAAAGAAAGGGTCCGATTCCTTTGCATGACAACGCCCGCCCACACGTTTCACAAATCACTATCCATAAATTGAACGAATTGGGGGTTGAAGTTCTACCTCAACCGCCATATTCAGACCTTTCACCAACCGACTATCACCTTTTCAAACATTTTCAGAACTCCCTTGCTGGAAAATACTTCATCAATCAGGACCAGGCAAAAAAGACCTTCGTAGATTTCGTGGATTCTCGACCACCCAGTTTTTTCTTTGGGATTTCTCGACTGCTGTCACATTGGCAAAAGTGTGCTGATTCGAATGGTGCCTATTTCGATTAAATCCGATGAGTATCGAAAAAGTTAGGATCGAGTAACACCCAAAACGTTGAGAACTTTCCGGACAACCTAATACATGTCATTGCAAATGGCCGGATCGACCTGCTGGGGTTCCCTTAAAGGCAGTTGGCACGATGGTTTCCTACTTAGCCTAAAATGCTAGTAGGGCGCTGTATAGTGGGGAAATGGCGAAAGAACGGAGTGAAAACGGTCAAAATCCGGCGAAGAAAAAGCCTCCGTTCTCAGTGACTTGTAAATCGATTTCGGACGAGTTTCCCGTACGCATCTTGCCAATCACCGCTACCGAAGGTACGGCTGCATATGTGTACCCATATATGCATGCAGCATCACCGCCGCTTCATACCAATCCCTTTGCTTCATAATTTGCTCAGCAAATGAATGAATACGAGCGTCAGAAACGGTCGTCCGTTTGTGGGCGGGCGGGCAAGGAAGGCGTTTGGGACGTAAAGTTGTTGCTCAATAGGGCGTTATAGAGGTACCCTCCTTGGAAAAGGCTTCACGCAGCGCCTGTCCGAGGTCACGGAATTCTGTTAAGCCAGTTGTACAAATCCTACACCTGTATAGCGATTTATCGTGCCAACTGCCTTTAATAGTGCGTGCCGCAACCTGCGTCGAGAATTTGATCACCCTCCTTACTAAGCCACCTTACCGGATCTTATAAACTGTGGTCACTTTCTGCCATCTACAAAAAAATTTTCTGATATTGCCAACTGTTGTTGCATCTTGCACCCGTCAACAGTGCTCCACAACACTTCTCGGAGCTGCAACCTGCGCTACAAATTTGATTCACAAACTCCTCTTCCAAGGCCCCTTACCGGATCTTGTCAGATATTGTCACTTTCTTCAACTTCCAGCAAAAACACTAAACGAGTAAGGCATCCTTAGTAACCGTCAACAAGACGGTAAGATAGGCGTGCTCTAAACTTCCTCACGCCTCCAGAATATTGCGAAACGGTTCTTTCTTCCAAAAATGTGGATTCCTGAATCATCATCATACATCATCATAAGAAACAGCCTCAGCCAACAAGGAAAAGTCAAGAATATGAAAACGGACTGCTCCTTCACCTTTCTAATACAAGAGTGACTGAGGACAGAAAAATCCATTATGCCCTATTTAGTTTATCCTCGGCACAAAAAAACGCTTGCACCAAAAAAATAGACCAAACTACAAATTGTTTAGCAATTTCACAAGCAACTTGCGCTTGCCTAGAGGCAGAAAAATGAGATGCATGTGCAGTCAAAAACACCATGTCATCTCAAACTTCCAAGAGTCTAGATCAGCTTGGAAGCTATGGTGCTTCATCATTGCCCAGACCATGGGCGGGTGAGCCGCGCCGCGTGTGACTCGGCTGTGACGCGACTGTCATCGCTGCCGCGTCACAGCCGAGTCACACGCAGCGCGGCTCACCCGCCCCACCGGTCTGCAATGATGAGGACTGTATTTCAGAATGATCAGAATGTGAAACTTCTCGACCAGATCTCATTATATTTCAGTACACCACTGCAGAATTTCACAGAACTGAGATATGAAAATTCATACTTCACACAATAGACACAATCAAGAAAAAAGGCAACGTCCTAATACGGCTTTAGTGACCGACGTAACAGCTCATATACGGTGTTCGTGATACCCCAAGCCAGTAGTGATCGAGTAAAGTTGAGATGGACCTGCTAAGCGAAGTAATATAAACACTGCGCTGAACAAAATTCCAAACCACCATGACAAGTATCATATATAGTCTACCCCAAGGTACAGCATTCTCAGAGACTTCTGGCGTTCTTGCCAAACTTTGCAAAAGACAGAGAACGGGTTTTCGAATGCAACACCGACCTGCAAAATAAACTGTTACCATCCTGAATTGCGACAATAATGAGCGAAAAGCACATACCTTGCTTTGCATATGATTTTTAACGACATTAATGGGAAAAAATATGGTTGAAATAGATGCGCCTAAAATTGCTCCGGACACAAAATCAGCGATCAACTCTGTTGCCATCTGGCTTCGAAGTGGTCTGACATCAACCACCTACAATTTAAACTTCAATGAGATATAAACATCAACTCACATCCAATTAGCTAAGATAGGGGACCATTTTTTTGAATGGTTCCTTGAGGGTGAAAAACAGTGCATTCGATAAACTGTTTCTTGCCAGCACAACAGAAACTCCTCGATAATACTCCCGTAAGCCATGAGCCTGAAAACGACAGCACACTCTTGCGGTACATAATCAAGCACTGTACATCGATCATATGATAAAGGCAACCTTCGCAACTAAGACAATTCCCGCGACCACAGCTCATAGGTAATACGGTTCAAAAATAGAACTGCCGTGTGTTTGTTGACTTATTGAAGGAGAAGGAAGCACGAAAAAGCGCCCGGAATAAGACCCTTTATTGCAATTGATCATGATCACCGGACGAGCGTAAGGTGGTCAAGATCAATTGTGAATTGCGAAAGGCGGCGATACACTGATAAGAGACGAGAGAGGCCAGAAAACGACGGGCGAGAGAGCGCAATGGCAGTCTCACAACGACACGGTCACTGGAGGCCGGCATGGGCCTATCGGGCGCCAATGGGCCTAAAACCTGAGCGCGCTGCGTTTTGCTTGCTGTTTTTCAACTTTTAAAAGCGGTATAGCCTCTGACGTTGCCTGCTTGACCGTCGTGCACGGTTATGAGAACCTAGCCTTAGTTTATCGCGGAACGTGCCTTTCAAGACGTTGATATAGAGACATTATGAGGCTCGCACGAGCGAGTGTTTCCTTCAAAGCCGAGCTCACGAACCCGCTCCCAGCGAATGGCAGGCAGTGTGCAGCATCGTGATTTCCAAGATGGCAGTGTCAGTCCGACCCCCCCCCCGGCAAGGGTCTTGGTACAACCCCTTCCCATTTATAGCTCTAATTACTTGCTCTGACAAGAAGGATTAGATACGTCCCGACTCGCAAGCGCTTGTAGCCGCGTTATGATTCTATGGCAACTTAGAAGTGGAGCAGATCTGTTGGCCGGTTGGAAATGGCAATGCTTTTTTTGGGTGATAGCTAATTCATGCGGGGGCTTTTGAGAAATGGAAGGCGGCATGTTGAAGCAATGTCTCTACTGTTGCGTTTTCTACCTACTCGCAATCTGAATCTTCCCCGTTCGTGAAATATTTCGGATGGGTATGGACGCGTTAGCGGCAAATCGCGAGCGAGTTTTTACGCTTGAGAGCAGAATAACTTTTCTCAAAAAATTTCAATTTCAGTTTTTAGCAAAAATAATACACCATCAGAACGCACAGCATTCCCTCCCTTCAAAAGGCTCTACAGTTTTCTTGGAGGCCCGCTAGTTCAGAAGATATTTTAAATGGGACCACCCTTGTGCGACATTCCTGAGCCACTCGGGAGCTCAACTCATTCTGTGCCATTGTAATGATACTCATTCGCGAATGCGAATGTTTGTCGGACAATAAGAAAAGTAGTGGGCGGTGAGCCGAAGCCAAAGACAAAAATCCTTGAAAGGCCTAGAAATGCGCCAAGGGACTGAAAAAATTGACAACGGTGAGCAATGGGTCGGCGATTGAAATAAGGTAGACATACCTAAGGCGGGGGAGGGGCTCATCGATTGGTTAGCGCTCGCAGTGAAAACTTCATCAGACGGTTCCAAACCAAAGAGCTGTTTTCACAGCTTCCTGCACAAAAATCTCATCAATGTAGAGAGTGCAATATGTAAATTTAGAGGACTGCTATACAAGGAAAAAAATGGTAAATTTTCGGATTTTTGAAAACAATTTCTGTGACAAATCGGCGCAGCCGGCGATCCGAGTGGTCCTCCATAGAAAAAGTCAGCGGCTGTACCCACTGCACACCTACGAGGAGGATCGCCCGGCGTACCATGGCGATTCGACCAGCCCTATATATTAGGTTGTCCGGAAAGTTCTCAGCGTTTTGGGTGTTTCACTTTAAACGATCGTAACTTTTTTAATACTCATCGGATTCAATCGAAATAAGCACCGTTCGAATCAGCACACTTTTGCCAATGTGACACCAGTCGAGAAATCCCATCAAAGAAAAAACTGGGTGGTCGAGAATCACGAAATCCACGAAGGCTTTTTTGCCTGGTCCTGATTGATGAAGTATTTTCCAGCAAGGAAGTTCTGAAAATGTTTGAAAAGGTGATAGTCGGTTGGTGAAAGGTCTGGAGAATATGGCGGGTGAGGTAGAACTTCAACCCCCAATTCGTTCAATTTATGGATAGTGATTTGTGAAACGTGTGGGCGGGCGTTGTCATGCAAAGGAATCGGACCCTTTCTTTTGATAAGTGTTGGCTGCATCTGACAAAATTTTCGGTACAATTCGTCGATTTCCTCTCACAAGGGAAGGATACCAACTCGTCCTGGCCATTCAGAATGAGATGTATATTCCTAGGAGCGTCTCCGGATACTGATATCAGATCTGACTTCCAAATCTGCTAAACGATTCTGGGGGAGAGTTACGGACCTTTTTTGCTACCGTGCTTAACCATTGCGGTGCGACCCCCTGCCCATGCTTTGCGCTCGTAAACCCCTCGTGACCCAGCTGCCGCCGTGGCTCGATGGCGCAGCAGGTAAGTGGATGGCTTCATAGTAGTGAGACGGAGGTTCAAATCCTTGATGCATTTCGTAGTTTTGCTTTTTCTTGAAACGCATGCTAAACACTTGGGAAGTAGTTTTGCGTACCTGTCCGACCACCAAGACCCCTCCCTGCTTCTTATTAGGGCCTATGTGCGACTTTTCAGGGGTTTTATTTTAACTTCAGTGAAAGCATTATTTTGATGGTGTTGGCGTGACAGCTTCATTCGAGGCATATATTTTCGTATTTAATGGGAAACATCAAAGGCTTGGTCCACGATCAGGAATAAAGTTGGAAATATGGTGTCGCGAGGGTAGTGGTCCGCAAGGAACAACCTTGTACTGGTTTACGGCGAAAAAATTGTTAGGGAGGGGTGCTATAACGCAATATAGCTCCAAAGAGGACACTCCTTTACCAGTGGCTCGGTCTCCAGACTCCGCCTTCAAAGCCCATCATCCAATGAAAAACGAAGCTGCAGGACGAAAAAGCATGAAAATCGTAAGCTCACTTGTAAGGTCGTAGAGTTCTTATAGTGAATAAGCTGTGTGGATGGGCGTAGTGTAGGAGATGGAGCTCACTGGGCACGTACAAAGTGGCTTGAAATGGGGTTCTATCTAATTGTAAGGCGGGTGACGAGTTTTTTCTGCCTTTTTTTCATTACCGAGTTACACAGCACATTGCTCTAGTCTATGCGAACCCCTAATGCACTATCTGTGATTGCGATTTATCGCAGGTTGTGCTTTAAGCGAGCACATTGTGATGTCCCAATACAAAATGGTTAGAGCAAAAAAGTTCTTCACAGTGTGAGCTGCGAATAAAAAGAAGTTTCGCTGCAACCATTATTCTCACAGATTCCCTCCAGATGATATGTAATGCAATATTGGAGAGAACTCTCGAACTCGTCTGGATGAGTGTCAAGGTAACCTGCTGAATACCAGGATTAAGAAAGAAATTGTTCAAATCTAGATGCTCTGAAGGGATTCATCGTTATCTTCAGATGCCCAGAAAGGATCCGTATGTTCGTCCTCCACGAAGCTATCTCCCTCGCAGTCGATTATACGATGTGTAGTACTTTTTTTTTTTTTTTTTTTTTTTTTTTTTTTTTTTTTTAGTGCTGGCCCCCTCACAATTTCCGATTTTTTTTTTTTTTTTTTTTCAGATCGGAGTCGCGCAAACACAGTAGGATAGAAACTCTCTGCAATCTTCTTTTCTTTGCGGGATAGTGATCAAACAATATCGCAAGACCCGAATTCTTTCACTAGGTGTGATAGCACCAGAGTCCGGCAGAACATTTCCAACTATGGTGGACAGGTCGCAAAGATGTTGGCTGATATTGTGGGCGCGAGTGAAAAGAGCTACCAGAGATGACGAATTCTTTCACTGGCCACACACGTTGTCATCCTATAGGGTGATGAAATCTCACAGTTCACGAGCTCCAAGCAGATATGCATGTGTATTTGGTCCCTTGCTTAAGCTAGTTAGGCAAAAGTGTAAGTTTCCACGAAAATAGTTCGCGGGGCTCAATAAGTAGCAGGGAGGGGGTCTTGGTGGTCGGACAGGTACGCAAAACTACTTCCCAAGTGTTTAGCATGCGTTTCAAGAAAAAGCAAAACTACGAAATGCATCAAGGATTTGAACCTCCGTCTCACTACTATGAAGCCATCTCACTTACCTGCTACGAGACTCGCGCCGCGCCATCTGCAGATAGGCGGCCAGCTGGGTCACGAGGGGTTTACGAGCGCAAAGCATGGGCAGGGGGTCGCACCGCAATGGTTAAGCACGGTAGCAAAAAAGGTCCGTAACTCTCCACCCAGAATCGTTTAGCAGATTTGGAAGTCAGATCTGATATCAGCATCCGGAGACGCTCCTAGGAGTATACATCTCATTCTGAATGGCCAGGACGAGTTGGTATCCTTCCCTTGTCAGCAGGGTTCTGCTGTGATGGTTTGGCTTGGTGATAAAAAGTTATAGTGGATCACACCAGCCGATGACCACCAAGCCGTGACCAGAATCTTTTTTTCGTGAGGGTTCGGCTCTTGAAAATATACCGCTCGGTGGTTCGTCGAATCCAACCACTGTCCGGAACGTCTCCTGTTATCATACATGACCCATTTTTCATCACAGGTGACAATTCGGCCCAAAAACAGGTCGTTTCTGCTGCGCAAAAGCAATGCAGAAGGAACCTCGAGACGTGCCGATTCCTGCCGGTCACTCCGATTGTGGGGCACCCAATTGTCGAGTTTTTTCACCTTCCCAATGCGTTCCAGACCATCTGCAACAGTGGATTTGCCAAGGCCTAGCTCTTCTGCTATCTCTCGAACTGTTTGGGATGGGTCAGCCTCCAAAATCCCCCTAAAATCCTCGTCAGATATTGCTTTAGGTCGACCGCTATGAGGTTCATCTTCAAGGCTGAAATCTCCAGAACGAAATTTGTTGAGCCATTGCCGCACAGTGCTTTCTCTAGCACTATTGGGCCCCCACACCTGGTTAATTTGTTGAGCTGTTTCGATTGCGGATTGCCCCAATTTATAGTCGAAGAAAAAAATCGTCCGAAGTGCTCTTTTCACATGCTTGAAAAAATCTTGAAAAAAGGGGGTTTATCAAGCAATGGTGAAACGGCAATTATACCATCAGATAGCGCAAGAAATTCTCTACAGGATGTGC